TAAACATGTGCCCTGGCATATAAATATGCCTACATTCATCGCGTGTAAAGGTGCACGCGGGTGGACGTAGTCTGGACGCGGTATGCCGAAATAAATGAGATATTTAATACAACATTGATTTTTGCCTTAATCAAATCCAATAGGAAACTACTTGAGAAGACGTTTCCAATGACTAGAAAGGAATCATAGATCTATTGACATCAACGGTACGCTCCCAACCAGCTACTACTTCTTAGACAGCTAGCAGCAAAGGCAAGTAACATGACCAACATGAGCAATAAAGTCTTCTCTGTTAAGAAAAGGACTCCTTGTCCACTTTATAATTAAATTTTCGTCACTGGAAAATAAAAATTGACCAAGACTCGCCATCCTATGAACGGCCCACAAAAAACGGGGAAACAACAGACTGCCAAGTCGATGAAGAGGTAGACAGACTCATCGCCAGAGAAGCAATCGGAAATATATGGAGAAGAGAACTGTGAAATAGAAAAGACTGGAGTTCGAGCAAACGGATAAGCAAACAGATCAATAGGCAGGTGTGGAGGTGGGAGGAAGACAATAAATAGTTCCATAGGCAACCGGGAACAAAGAAATTGGCCCTAGGTTCCAGGTAAGAAGGGAATTAAAAAAGAAATTTTATTCGTGGCCGCTTTTGGAACTTTTACATACATATTTTTAAATGCTGCACACACAGTCAGTATATCAAAAAGGAATAAATTTCTATTCGGTTGAAGGAAGATAATAATAATTCGATATTTCCTTCGAGTCAGTCCATCATATCATAGATTATTTTTTTTAAATATTATTCTCTTAAATATTTAAAATTACTTTATTTAATTAATTAGTACAAGCTCACACTCTATGCAATACGAGCATTAATGATTATGTTTACAAAACTATTATATAGGTTTTTCACGTTTCCACCTTCTGCGTCCAGCCCTTGTAACCATTTGTGTCCATTATAATCCATAGAGAAAATGAAGATAAATTACAGAATTGCATGTTGAAAATCATATGCGAAACTCTATTTAATATAAACACTTAATTCAATTGTTGGTAAGCACTTGAACAAACCATTAAAATGTCTGTTCAATGCTAGCGATAAAAAAGAGAAAAAGAAAAAAAAAATGAAAAAGACAAAGACAAAGAAAAGTATAAGGTTCGCCTTGAGGTTGAGGAGTGAAGAGAAGAAAGGAAGTATCACATAAAAGACTTAAACGACAAACTTTAACGCAATAAAAACACACAGAGACGTAAATGCTAACAATGTTGGCTGACTGGCTGACTGGTTGATCGGCTGGCTGGCTAGCTGGCTAGCTGGCGCATTTATCGGCCTATAGAGTAGGCCCCACGTCAGCGTCTGGCTGGTCAGCGATAAAGAACTTAAAGATAAAATATATATATGTATATTGTTATTGTTATTGTTGTTATTTTTCTTGCTATTGTTGTTCTTACTATTATTGTTGTTTATACCTTAAAAGGTACAAACGTTTAAAATTCAATTATTGTTATTTCCTACGTACGAAATAAAAATAAAAAAAAAAAAAGTCACAACAACAACAACAACAACAACAATTTTTGTCGATTTACAGATGATGTGCGCTTGGTTGGCAATGTTTTAAAATTTCCATTGTATTTACTCTGATACATTGTTTTCGAATTAAGACCAAGAGAGTAAGTAAAGGGCAAGCAACAGAGTTTAGATCATGTTAAAAAGACTCAAATAGTGTTATATTGTATCGTTTCGTATGCGAAGTAAACAAGCAACAGTGTTGAGCAACTTTATTATAACTTTATATTTGTTTGGATTCTTTTCGTTGTAGATGGCTGTCTAAGCGGAAACCTTTGTTCTAATGTTATATTTAGTTATACAAATGTGTGCGATTACTTACAACCTACTGTTGCTTATAATCATCGAAAGCTTCGTTAAGCGGTTTTTCTCTTTTCTTCGCTTTTTAATCTCGTCTAATGTTTGTATTTTGCTTATATCCATTAGCTGGGCAGTCGAGCGCGTCAACTTTGAACTCAATAGCGAAAAAGTCGTTTACAAAAGCAAAAAAAAAAATAATATATATATATATATATATACAAATACCCATATATATGTATATATATATATCAGTCCATTTGGTAAAACTATTAATTGATTTCGTAGGCGTTTGTTGGTCAAGAGAAGTTGAGAGTTGTTATCTGAAACTTTAACGTATTTAAGGAAAGAAAGAACAATTTTTATATTTTTCACTTTTCATTTTTCTTTTTCTCGTCTTCACATCCCACAACGAGTAAATTTTAACTCGACAGTTAAAGTATAGAGAAACAAAGTAAATATTGGTTTTTATTTTCCTTTTCTTTTGCGCTTTTTCTTTTCCTTTTTTTAGCTTTTCAAAAGTGCATATATATGTTTATAAGACTTTATCTACCTCTTTTAGTTTACCTAAATGCTGTCTACCTTTAGTTATAATTAAAAATGCATTTATCTTTTACTCTATACTATGATAACTTTCGTCTCAAGTTACGCGATATACAATATATAAAAAGGCCTTGAGCTTAATAGTCGTATAATTAAATGGTTATAACGATGATTAAGATTTATATGTAATATAATACCCGGTAGACATAAAGTGTACCTTTTCTTCTTCTTCTTCTTCTTCTCTTTTTTTTTTCTCATTTATTCCCTACACATATATATATTATTTTTACTAAAATCTAAGGATATATTAATTTTAGTATGTGGTTTATAAAATGCCCAGAATTATTCATCAAAATTCTACGAGAATCGATTAGTAAAACAGATTATAAAGTACGTACATATACGTTTATGTATGCATTGTTACGAAATTCGTTTTGATCGGTTATGGTTCGTGTCAATGGACACTTGCACGTTTCCACTACAATACTCTTTCATTTACAATCAATTTGTTTAAGGGTAGAACTATCTGCAATTAATCTCGACTTCTCAACTCTGATATTTTTTTTTCGACTCAAATATTCTTATCCGACTGACACTGTCTTCCGCTACTAATCCATTTATATACATTTCTACAAGGCATATTGCTATTATCTGCGTTCATGGCTTCATTTTTAATCCGTTAACCTGCTTTTCCGCTAATTGTACTCGTCCGCGGCAGCTGCATGACACGGCGCTTATATGCACTTGGATTTTCCTTCTCTAGGGAATTTATTATTTCAGAAAATCAGTTAAATGGACTCAACTGGATTTGAGATTTCCGTAACACTATCAAGTATTTTTATGAATTTTTTTATCAAAACTTTTCATTAGTTTTCAATCTTCATTTTTTTTATAGAAAATATTAAGCATATTATCAATTAATGCAAAAACAAGTATAAACACTATAGTGGGCCGCAATTTTCCATTAAATACTTTATTGTAGCTCTTTCTTATAAAGACTTTTCAAAATATGGCTTTATATGGAAAATAGTCGAAAAAGTGGTTCAATTTGAACACATTTTTAATAGTTTTCGTCCTTGGCTCGAAACACGGCAATGTGTCAAATTTCATCTAAATATTGAAAAATTTACAACTTGTAAGTTGAATACAAGAAAACAAAACCGCTAGACGGACAGACGGACGGACAATCTTAAATCGATTCGGAAAGTGACTCTCACTGAAGGGTGGCTCTGTTTCAACTCCTTCTGAACGTTGCATACATTCGCACAAGAACTTGATGTACGTTTGTAGCACAAGTTTTTACAGCGAGTCATACCACGATGGGACTTTTAGTCCGTTATGAGAATCATTAAAATTTTATTATTTCGATTTATTATATGAATTCACTATTCATATAAACATAAATATCATGTATCCATCCATATACTTATAACCTACATCACCTGTGGTTCAGGGTACATTTAGTTTGTGCGGACGTATGTAACATTACGTACATTAGAAAATTATGCTAATCTTTTCTGTTTGTCTGTTTGTCTGATGTCTGTTCATGCAGCTTTGTGTGAAACCTACAGGACGTCATTTTCGATGTATTTTAATAAAATTTAGTACATTCACGGTAATTACCGGTCTGTACGAGAAAAGTTGGGCCTGTCTTAAGTGCTTCTAAGTATTACATACGTTCGCACAAACTTAATATACCCTTGTATTGCAAGTGGTGTAGGATGTGAATATTGTAGGTAGAATCTACGTTATTCAAAAAATCACAATCTAGTGATGCGAACTTAATATTCTCAGGAATAGCACACTTAATCTCGCACAAAGTCATTTCACGTAAGACGTTAAAGTAGTTTTTTAGAAAAAAGTTTCAACGTATATCTTCGTCCTACATCAAATCTTCAATTTTAGATACCTAACTGAATGCTTGGATCTTCCTCTTCTTCAAAAAAAAAAAAAAAATATGAGAAGCAAGTCACGTTTTCCAAAATTCATTTCAATATATCCTGCTTGGATCGGCTTTTGGATACGCAGGGAGCAAATCTGGTACAGTCACTCATATTTGGATATATATTACCCTTATGGTAGTAGCAGTAGTAGAATTGAACTTGAGCGGCAAGATCCAAAGCTACCTTCAATTCATTTGAAGCTTCAAATGCTGGAAAGAAAGTGTACGTGAAACGGGGAAGGGAAAAGAGGAAGATGACCTTGTCGAATAATGTAGCAGCGGCAAGGAAATTTGCTCGAAATGGAAAAGCATCGGTTATCCAACATGCAGATACATAGAAAACTGGACGTACATACATAGAGAGATTTGCGAATGAACGGAATCAATAGACAGGAAGCTGTTGAATTGAGAAACGCATGAATAAATAAATCAATAAGTGAATGGACAGAGAGACGGAGATGCAGATGCAGCTGCAGACGGATCCGTTGAAAAACAGACTCTAGCAATCTAGAATTGCATATTGATGTAATAATCATATATTTCCCCTCGCCCCCTCATTATAGTTCCAAACCGTAAGCCAAAGTTATAAAATTTCTTTTGACCTAGAGTACCCATAAGAACTTCATTTATTATTTCGAATTAGTTTATAGTGTTTTTTTACAATTTTTTTTGTAACATTTCGATAACTTTTCGTCGTAGGACTTTTCCCGAACCAGTTCTGGGCAGTTGTTTCAAAAAATATATGCCACCCTTGAGATGATACACTGGCGGTAATTCCTCTTCAACAAATCGATAAATTTTCTTTTCATTTAAATTATCGCCCTCAATATCGTTTGTCTTCACCACAGCACAAGCAACCAGATTTGTTTTAATGACATCAGGTTGACCGAAAACACAACATTCCTGTACTCCTCTCAATTTCATGAGAATGTTTTCCACTTTCTCTGGATAAATTTGTATATTATTCGATTTGAAAACATCACCAACTCGTGAGCATATATGTAAGTAGCCGTCTTCGTCGAAGTAACCAATATCGCCCGTACGGAACCAGTTGTCTGTTAAGCACTTTTGAGTAGCTGTAGGATTATTTAAGTAACCCAACCATTTGTATGGAGACCAACATTGTAGTTCACCTTGCTCATTGGATCCCAAAAGATTTTCACTTCTATCGACAATACGTACTTGTAAGTTAGGAGCTAGAAGACCTTCGGTATCAAGCTGACCGGTATAATTATAAGACAATGCTCCAAATTCAGAGATACCATAGGCTACTACGAACCGTTTATATCGGTTTTCTGATTTTAGAAGCCTTAATATTTGGTTTGCCACTATGGGCAAAATTTTCGACCCGCCGCCTATAATGGTATCAATAGAATTCATACGTTTAGCTGTGTTAGCTACGTTTTTAGACTTTAAAGACAACTCTGCCAATTGACTGGGATTCGCTATAACATGAGTTATTTTATAACGTTCGATTAAGTGCAGGAAGTATTCCGGACTAAACGGTTGATTAGTGATTATACGTAGACCACCTTTTAAGAGAGTCTCCTTAAGGACAAATAAGCCAGACATCCAGTACATGGAACTAAATGTAAAGCCTACCGAATTTGCGGTAAATGTTTGGCTAGAGTCGAGAAGAAAAAAAAATAGTTCAAGCGGAGCTTTTTTTTTTTTTTATTTCCCTAGAAAGCACCTGAACTTACAATACGTAACGATTTAGCAAAGCCTGATGAGAACACAACACACCCTTTGGTGGTCCAGTCGTGCCAGACGAACATAATATAACAGCCGCATCATCACCGTTTAAGGGAAAGCAAGGAAATCTAGAAAGCATTAGCTTAGGTCCCCCTAAATGCTACTGAAACTTTAAATTACTTACAGCGCCATGTCTGGTAAATGTTCCTTAACTTTCATAAGTTCCGTTACGGACGGAAATTGAGCATCTATATTGGAATGCATTAAATAGATCTTTGCTTTTAAATTCAATTCTTGATTGGCTGTCTGAGCTTTATAAGAATTCTCCGAATCACAAAATATAATTTTTGGTTTCGATAGATCGAAAATGATTTTTAATTCATCTAAAAAGTTGGTAAAGTTGAGAAACAATTTCTCTTGCAAACGAATTTCTTACATATTCACCTTTATCGCAACCTTCGTAGGCAGCATGGGTACATAAGCCAGTTAACCAGGCTGCCAGCATTACCGCAGATAAATGCGTTGTATTGCTGGCATATAAACCGATCACATCTCCTCGCATTAAACCCATTGCGACGAAATTTCTGACTATATTCTTACTATTCATAAGTAAATCTTTAGCTTTCACTTGTTCACCGGTAGAATCCATAATTTGCACAACTTTATCGGGAATTTGTTGCAACTTTTCAACAATCGCTTCTCCCAATGTCAGGTCATAATTATAAAAATCTTTTTGTTCAGGTCCCGACCATATTTTATTCGCGCTATCGTAACTTGTTCCGCAATAAACGGGCATCTTGCACGTTGTCCGAACGCAATCACAAAATAGTAATAGTAGGTCAAGCCCGTTTATATAAGTGAATGAAATCAAGCACTTTTCTTGATAATAATAGCCAGGTATAGCATATGAGCTAACGTAACTAAGTGAAGAATTATATTAACTTTTACTGACTTTTAACTTTTAAAAATTCGAAATGAAAAGTTAACGACTTACTTCTCACAATCGTATAATTAGCCTTCTTTAGATTTATAGACCTGGCATTATCTGAAGAGATATATTTATCTCAAAGAGCGACTGATAACCTTTGTGATGCACTTTGTTAAATACGATTTCATTTGTTGATAACACGAATACACAAGTATTTTATTATTATAGTAATAACAAGTAAGAAGATTATATTCGGTCGTGACCGGACCATTTATACCCGTCACCTCTATCTTATGCACGATTGAAACAACGGAAAAATATAAATTCGCGTACTTCATAACTTTCGGTGGGCGTAGCTGATTCTTTTCATTTTGGTGGAATAATTTTGTGGAAATTTATACCGTGTATACGGTGTAGCTTATGAGCAACGAGCCCTTTGCTCATTGTAGGTTTTCTTTGTAAAAACATGTGGGCGTTGTAGGCGGTTTCGTTTGCAAATTTGAAGTCGATAGCTTCATTTTTATGGCCAAGAGAATGCTTACAATACACATCACACAATCAGATAGATGAGCAGACGGACATGCTTGAATCCGTCTCCGAATTTGATGCTGATCAAGAAAATATACACTTTGTGTGGTCTCTGAAGCTTCCCTCTGGACGTTGCAAACGTTTTGACAAAACAAAATTATCCGTTATCTGTCAGTGATGGGTATAAAAATAGTAAATCTCTCTTTTTTAATTGTCATGAATGTTATCTTTCAAGTTATTATGCATGCACTAGAAAAAATTTCTCTGTAAAAATAAAACAATCGCGGGTAGGAAAATTAAACTCGATCGTGACCAACACGTTTATATTCACCACCGTTATCTTAAAAAGGACAAAAAGAGATTTATATAGGTAGTAATATTAGGTAGGCGTGGTCAACTTGTTCATGTTGGTGCAGGTAGCTTACTTTGTGCGGCTACGAGAATGTTTATAACTGACATTCCACAGACGGGCAGGCGGACATGTTTAAATCGAAATATAAATTCTTTGTGGGGTCTCTAAAGCTTCCTTCTGGGAAGGGTGGGTATAAAAATGTACGTTATATGCTTAGATAATCTAAATGTACTACCACATGCCACAAGCTCTGAGGTGAGCTAGGATAAGAAGTATATTTATTTCCTCAAAACGTCTGCAACGCCCAGAAGGGGACTTCAGAGACCCCGCAAAGTATATATATTCTTAAACAGCATCAAATTCTATTTCCTGTAACCCATGTCTGTCTGTCCGTCTGTGTAATGCTGAACTAGGATAAGAAGTATATTCATTTTCTCAAAGCGGGTGCGACGCCCAGAAGGAAACTTCAGAGACCCCATCAAGTATATATATTCTTGAACAGCATCAAATCCCATGTCCTGTAATCCATGTCTGTCTGTCCGTCTGTGTTTTGCTGAACTAGGATAAGAAGACATATTCATTTCCTCAAAACGTCTGCAACGCCTAGAAGGCAGTTTTAGAGGCCCCAAAAAGTATATATATCCTAGAACAGCATCTCCTTTGTCTTTGTCTGGGGCCACGTAAGTTCAAAATCAATTCAATATCCAATTTTTATCTGAATCTTGCATATGACTTTATATATTTTTGAACTCACAATATCTAACTATTGTACGTCGTACTTTTCTTTTACTTATTAATCAAAACCGATTCTATATCTAATTATTAGATGAACCTATCAAATGTTTGTAACAACTTACAGATAAAACGATGCCACGAGTTAGTTACTTCGTACTCTTTGTCTAAGTCAAAGAAAAAAAAAAAGCAACCCACATGACCGAATCGATGCTAATCACTTTACCTTATATGCCTTCTGATCAATATTTCCGGCGCTTGCAAAACGAAATAACAAATTTTATATACCTTTCCGCTTCAATGCTAAACTCTCGCCGTCTGCTGCTAAGTGGAGTAATGCAGCACAATCTGAAAGTATCAGGAATATTTTAATAAACCGCATTTCGAGAATCAACTTGAGAGAAGCTATAAAGAAACCTATATCTAGAGTTCTATGTTAGTTTTAGACTGTCAATTAGAAATTTATACGTAGTTTTAGTCGATGACAAGTTTCAAACGTCTATCTCGGTAGGAGCTGTTACAAAGGACTATAAAAGCCGCATCGTCATGATGCGGAAACCGAAATAAGAGTCCTCTCCACGATTCCGGCCTCGACGCGTAACACTCATATAATATTCCTTCTTAACAATTTGATCAAGCGGAAGGATTTCACAGTGCATAGGCACCACGATAATGGAAAAAAGTGTTCAGTGTGAGCGGATTTGAGGCGGGTTTTCCGTTCCTGATTCAGCTTTTGCCCTATATTCGCTTAATTGATCGGTTGTTCCCGCGTCGTATGCGTAAACCGAGATCGCATGGGTTTTCGGTGCGGATTGACAGTCGGACCTCATCTCCTTGCAAATCTTTCTTTTGAAGGTGCAAAGGATCACATTTGTTGATCAAATTTATAAACCTTACCTTTAACGTTTGAAGACGCAACGTAGTCTAGTAGTGGTAGTGAATGATTTCAACGGATTATATAGGCGGGGAAAACACTTCAAAGGTCTGAATGTAATATCAAAGCCGAAGTTGATTCCGCTTTTCGGCGAGTTTACTTCTTCGAGGTTGGCTAAGCTGCCAAAACTAATCTCAATGCAACGCATACATCCCCCAACTCTCAACGAAAATGGTTCATTTTACAACGCCTTTGTTTTGGGTAGCACGCTTTGAAGTCGTTTTGAACCATTATCACTTTACTAGGTTCACTGACTTTGATAACAAAATCCCTGACAAGTCATTAAAAAACTGAAAACGACATAAAATAATTGTCAGAATGAAAGTTATAAAGAATAAAAAGAGAAACATGAAAATGAAACTTCAGCGCTGAGTGTCTGGAGTAAATTGTAAATTTAATATCAACATTAAAACACACGTCATAGCTTTTATTTTATTTATTAACTAAGTATGCAACAAGGCGTAAAAGAATATGTTTAATGATGTTGCAGGTTGTTTACTCTTAATGTAGAGCGATCTCTATCTAAACTATTGTTCTGTCTGTCTTGCACCTTGAATAATATGAGCTTTAGTCTCAAAAAAGCATTCATTCTTTTTTTCTTTTTTTTTTTTTGTAATAGCATGATTTCAGCTAAGCCAAATCTCAGCCATTTAACTGATTATACCGTATACTACGTATGCTAGGAGTATATTCAGTTTATGCAGATGAATGAAGCATCCGCAAGGAGTTCAACTTTTATTAGATTAATTAAATAAGAATCATTTTGTAAATCAGTGAAGTATCCTTTCAGAAGTATCTGTACTCCATCTGTCTGTCCCTACGTCCATTCTTGTATTCAAACTAGAGTTCCTTGTTTTAAGACATTTTAATGAAATTTGGCGAGTTAACATGTTTCGAGACAGAATCTAACTGTATTGTAAATAGACTTGGCTGGACCACGTTTACGATCACTTTGTATGTAACCCCTTGTTTTGAAAAAGTCTTTGTATGAAAAGAATTTGCGATTTTTAATACTTCGCTACAAAAGCATACTAAGTGAATATCGAAAATCTGGATGGGATTTGAACGTTGTCTCAGTTCGCCCCCATAAAAACTTTCTCATAAAAAATAAGACCTTATATGGGAGGAAATGATGAAAAATTGTTCACAATAGCGTCTTAAGATAAAAATTTGCTTTGCCAAGTTTGCACCGCATAGGTCTACTGTTCACAAGCTTTCCCATAAAATGTTTCTTAGGTCAAGCTAGTTCGCCCATCACAACAACAGGGTGAAAGGTGTAGCAGAAATAGATAACGAACAACAAGTGATTTGGCACAACAAGTAACTTTAAGGAGCATGGACTTGGGTTCCGTTTTCCCTAAAAAGTAAAACTTAAACTAGCAACAAGATAAAAATTTTGCTATGTTAAGGCGAACATACACAAAGACCTCTATTAGCCGCAATGGCATGCGGTCGCCATTCAACGACTGTGAGGTCTTAATTTCTCTCTTTTCTGATAGTAAATATTTACATAAGTATTATTGAAATAAATTTTTAATGAAATTTGCTTAGTGTGCATCTATATAGGGCGTTTAAAGTTTGCATTAATCTTCATTCAGTCATTTCAATTCGATATTATTCTGTTAATCTTCATTCAATTCAATTGCTATTGTTATTGTTATTTTAGTGTTAAAGCTTCCGCATTAATTGTAGGAAAGAAAAAAATTTCAAATCAGACTTTATTAGATTTTCTACTCGACAGTAACTGCATGAAATGGAAAACAAAAGGTACATACACAACACAACATACACCAACAAAACGACAAAAAAAAAAAATAGAAGAAAACAGAAAAAACGTAACAACAACAGCCAAAGTAATGTTTTATTATAAGAAAGATTTAGTTCGAGAAGCCGAAAAGAGTTTGAAAATAGACAAAAGCGAAGCAATGTATAGCAAGGAACTTAAGTGTTCAAGTAAATCGTGAATAATTCTAGTGTTTGAGTTGCTTATTATTATTTAAAGCCAAGAAGTGAAGTGTTTTCTATTCTTGTTATTCTTATTGTTGCTGTTGTTGTTGTTGCTGTTTTTGTTACTTTTGTTATTATTGCAATGTTTATAGTGGCGTGACGTAACAGTAAATATAACATTGCCAACAATGCCAGCTCTCATGTGTGTACATTCATAGTAGATGTGTTTAGATGATCATCATAATGATGATAGTTGGTGCTGTGCTTGCCACGTTACCGTTAACAACCAAAACCAAATAATAGTTAAAAACTTTTGAAAAAAAAAAAAAAATATGTATATATAGAAGAAAATTACAAATATAAATCATTTGAAGCTTAGATCGAATTTTTAAATACCCATCACTTATACGATATTATTGCTTTTCGATAAATACATGTCATAACTACAGGAAATGTAATTTATGACTGACATAATAACTTGCTAGAAATATGCGTTATATCGCCGACTTTTAATTATTT